TTCGGCGGCTCCGCTGCCCCCCCCGGGAAGGCTTTGTGCCCCTCGGTGCCACAGTTGCGCCCACGCCAGGGATCTCGCTCAGGGCAGGCACGTGGGCGGCTTCAGACTGCTGAGGAAGTTGTTTAAGGGGGATTCTGGCTCGTGGCAGGGTTTTGGCAAGGACAGAGGGCAGCAAAACTCGCTGCTGGGGGGGGGCATAAAAGGCGTGTTGAGGAGAGGAGAGGGTCTGAGGTCCCCTTAAGTGGCAGCTCCGGGTGATATCTGAGCCCATGGAAGTGCTACAGACCAGGAGGGAAACCTTTCCTACAAGGGTTGAGGGCAGCCACACGGAGCTGGCAGGGGAATGTGGGTTAAAGAATCACTTATTCCCTGAGGTGCAGACAGGACAGGGGAGAATGCCTTCAAAATTAAAGAGAGTAGGTTTAGATGGGATACTGGGAAGAAGTTCTTCCCTGTGTGGGTGATGAGGCCCTGACAGAGGTTGGCCAGAGAAGCTGAGGCTGCCCCATCCCTGGAAATGTCCAAGGCCAGGCTGGATGAGGCTTGGAGCAAACTGGACTACTGGAAGGTGTCCCTGCTGGATATCTTTGGAGTCCCTTCCAACCCAAGCCATTCCACGATTATGCGAGCACAACAGATCTGGGGCAGTGTGTGGTCCACAACCCTTTCCAGATAATTGCTGCTTTTAAGCTGTATTTGGACATCCCTCTAATACCAGCTACAAGCAAGCAGCATGAAAGGCAAGAGGCAGAGAGCTCTCTTTTGCTGACTGCAGGACATAGGAAGCAACAGGGAGACATCAGGAAACCCCCAGGTGTGATCTACCCAGAGCTTCCTCTTGCCCAGCTGCAGGAACACCCCCTTTCTCCCACCCTGTGGGCTTCAGGAGCACCCCGCTTTGATCACTACCACATCAGCCCCACCTTAAGCAGGGACATCTTAAAAATAATCAAGGTGAGAACAGAGGGTAGAGTTTCCAACCCGGCTGGTGTCACAGGGGCACATTTCAGCGCTCACACACTCAGGAGACACACCGGAGAGGAGGGGTAGGTGCTGAAGCAATGTCTGTTAGTTACAGCTCGTTACAGTTATTATTGATGCATCTTATTGTCAATGCAAAAGGTGAAGTCACTTAATCCATCATTTCTCAGACACGGATGACAGAGCACATGGTTTGGCAGAGTAAGTTTTAGGCGAGCTAGAAATGGATTGCACAATATTTAAACCTGATTAAACATAATAGGCTCAGCAAAGGATTACTTTTCTCCTGACATTTTATACATAAATATATACACACACACGCACAGACAGGCATTTTATCAATAGCTGCATTTTAGTCTGGTCAAGAGATGACTGCCTACTGCATAATGACTGAAGTGGTACCTTAAAAAGGAAACTAGTCTTGGTGTGCTTTGCTGGAGAAGAGAAGGTCCTTTTTGGGGTGATTCTCAGGGGTAGGGGTCACATCCAAGCATCACTGGGGGGCTGGAGGGGATGGGTGAGGGGATGGGTGAGGGGCTGGGGACTCACATAGCCCTGGCTGGTGGCACACCAAGCTCCTTCCCTGTGCAAGGCAGGAGATACTGGAGCAAAGGAAGGGGCTGGATTGGATTCTGTTTGGACTGCTTTTCAAGGACTTGGGAAAAAAAATTGGCATATTTAAAGTGCATTTAGAGTTGAAAAGCATCTCTGAGAAGTAGCTTTCCTGACTCCTGCCCTGCAGCATCCATCCCATTTATGATCCCACTCACAGTCTTTTCCAGGGTGTGCTAGTCACTCTCCCCAAGAGGTGTTAGTCTGAGCTCAGCTGCCTCTTGCTAGGGTGCAGGATCATTATTTAATGCCCACCATCCCCAAACTGGGCTGGATTCAGGGCTGGCAGGGATTTCTGCACCAAGAAAACACATGGCCACATCTCACCACGCTTTTTAGGAGCGCAAGTAAGTGGGAATCCTTCCTGCCAGCCTGGAGGTTTCCTAAAGAGCCTTTAATTAGCATATGCCTCCAAAGCTAGGAGGGACAAATCTTGGCCTGGCTATTTCTGTCGTCAGGGAGACTGCTTGGATATGGGGTGGCAAGATTTGACCTGCAGCCTTGCCCAAGAGTAGGTCCTCTGAGGAACGCTCTGCTGCTTTTACAACTGCTTTTCAAAACAGAAGCCTTTTAAAAATAACAGACTCAGGATGCAGAATCCAGAATGGGACAGTTGTATCCCGCAGGGAAAACCTGTCCTTGCTCCCCAACACTCACACACACAAACACACACATACACACACAGGTCCTCCATGTCAAAGTGTGTAAACTACTCACTTACACCACCACACACTGAGGAAGTTGTAGATCCTGAGCCAGGGTGTAGATTAGGAATCTCTTGGCTTCCAGCATATCAACAGCAGGATTGAGGGTTTCTCATTCCCCCTCCCCTTTTTTTTTTTGAATGCTAAATCAACCAGCCACCTGCTAGTTAAAAAGCAAAAAGAAAAAGGAGAATTCCCAGGACTGTTTGCCCTTGCTGAAACAATGGCAAGTGGCTGGACATTACCAACTGAAAGAGAAAACTCACACATGTCAGAAACCTGTGGTTCAGGGCTTATTCCAAGAGGGAAGATGGGTTCTGGTTGCTGTTTTTCCCTTTTTGGGGGTGTGTGGGGGGGGCTTTTGGCTGATGAGGTTCTAACGTACACCTATCACCACAGTAATTAAAAAACCACCACTGTACACTATTCCACAGAGGAAAAAAAAGACGTGAACAGACACTGACTACCACGCACAACAAGAGCCCTGCAGGTCAACTCACAGCCTCTTCAGAATGAAAAAGAAAGGAGAAAATAAGAGCTCAAAACAAGGGAAAAAGGGAAAAAAAAAAAAAAAAAGGAAAGAAAAAAATCCCAAAGGATCTCATTACGAAGACGGGAAAAGAACCACCACTATGGTACACTCCAACTTTCTGAAACAGCTGCAGAAACTCGCTCAGCCTTCTTCCTCCTCTCTTCCCCCCCCCCGCCCCAGCTCTTCCTCCTGAGGACAGAGTCCTGCTGCTCACATCTCGTTGGAGTAGGTGTAGTTGGGGGTGGCCGAGTACTGCGTCTCGTGCTGCATCATCGCGCCCTGTGCCGCCCCCATGGCCGCGTTCTGGGCCGCCTGCTGTACGTGGGGGTTCTTCCATGCCCCCGTGGTCCACTCCTCCTGCGCTTTGCTGAAGCTGCCGCCGCTCCCCCGATAAAACTTGTGCACCTGGAGGGAAAATCCAGAGGGGTTGAGTGCCTGCAGCTGGCGCTGAGCTCCCGGGGTGGGCGGCGAGGGCCCCCCCAGAGCAACGTCTCACACCCACTTCTCCTGCCATACCATGGTGAGAGCGATGAAGGAGAAGACTGCCATGGCCGTGAAGAGCACGGTGGGGATCAGCATCACCACGGCTGACCCCACATTGGTCCCAAAGAAGGAAATAGCTGCAATCCAGCCGCTGCAAGGAGATGAAAACAACCAGCTTTCCCAAACTGCCAGCATCCTTCCCACCTCCTCAGACCATCCTCCCCAAGGCAAGAAGCACTGAATATGTTAAAACATCAAGCACTGGGGATGTTAAAACACCATGGTGACCACCCTTGCACCCAACACAGAAGCATTTTCCTTACCAGACCCCCCATCCAGGGATTCCCACCGCCTGGATAATGCTGATCACCAGCTGGGCCATGAAAGTGAAGAAGAAGGCCATGAAGCTGAAGGAACTGTCTGTCCTGCAAGAGAGGGCTCGGTCACTCCCTGCACCTCCATCCCTGCTGTGCTTCGAGGAGATGCTCCTATGTCTCAGACCCGGCTGTGATTTAGCAGGAGGGTGGTGAGAAGCAAAATTAAAGGCAAAGGAAAAACTGCAAGAGGCTGAAGGTGGTGAAGGGGCACCTGGGAAAAGCCCACGGGGGCACCAGACCCTCTCCATGGCTCGGCCAGCTCTGCACATTGAGCTTGATGACATCCATGCTGGGACACAGCTCTTGGCTTACACCACTCCACATGGGGAATAAATACATCCCCAGACTTCTAGATTTGGGAATCAACCTCAGCAGCACAGATAACCCATATAAACACCTCGAGGACTTGTGGAAAAATATGAAAGAAGCCTCAAGGATGAGAGAGAGGGAGAGTTGCACCCCAACTGCATCCTCACCAGTCTCCCCCGCTGCTGCACAGAGGCACATGGAGGGTGCTCTTACATCACATGGTTGGGGGTTTGGCCCTCAGGAAATCCCAAACACTCTTGTTTTGAAGGTTAGAAAGTAAAGCTAAAAAGGCTGGACAAAAAGAAATTCCCCTAGTAATTTAGGCAACGCCCCAGGCTAAACAGTGATGGTTTAGGAAGGAAAACAAGGCAAAAAGAAGCCAGGCTCAGGTGCGACCACTTACTTGAAAGCTTTGTAAATAGGTCTAAACCAGCAGACATAGGAGCAGGGCGTAAAGAGAATGAGCCAGAGAATTGCCAGTCCAAAATTTACAGCTCCGCCGCCTCCAATGAGCCACGCGAGGCAGCCCACGAGATTCACTGCCAAGGTGATGCTGTTCACTGCAAACACACACACACAGAGCAGAGTAG